ATTGAGCAGCCACAGCATTGCATTCACCTTCTTCTTTAAGGGTACCTACCTCTCGTCCAGTATCTCTGCATCAGTTACACATGTTCTGTCAGGTTGTAAAAGGTACCTAAGCATAGCTGTGTTCTTACTAAGTGACTTAATACGGCTGCTGCCACCTCATCCTCCCTCCTCTTTGACACAGGGTCTTTCTGTGTCATGCTGGCTGGCTTGGAACTATGTAGACCAGGCTGGCCTTGAACTTGCACGGGTCTTCCTGCCTCTGTCCCCCAAGTGCTGGACTACAGTACCATGCCCTACTTGAATTTGAGGCAGTTTGAGAACTTTGCTTCTTTTCTCAGAGGTGGTAACCCTTTGTCCTACAAAAGTTGCTGAAGTTACCTGTGGTAGCAAACTACTGGGAACCATGGTGGCCTTCTAGAATAATGTACTCAAGAGTCCCCAGAGACTCAGATGCTGCCTGGCCTTCAGCTACTGTAGTAGTGACTGCCTCGGTTCCTTTTCCAGATATGACTTTGCCATTGCAAAGTCACGTCGTACATGTTTTATATGGAGCTGTGCTTTTCAAATGCTACCCAGGAGCGTGATATTTCAGCCGCATAGTAAGCTCTGGCCTGAGACCCTGTGCATCGTTTACTGAATCACACAGAGTCCATGTCAAGGCTTCTGACAGGAAGTGCTGGCCTTTGTCTGGGTGTCTCATTAAAACATGAGTCTTTCCCCATTTGCAGTGTTCTTAACTGAGAACTTACACTTCTTAGTGCAAGGCACCCAAGTGGATTAGAACTTCCCGAAGGCTTGGCAGGTCCTCTCCTTGTCTACTTTGAACAGTTGCCATTTATCCTCTGCCTTTTCTTAGACCTGTTCTCTGCCCTCTTATGCTGGGCTGGCCCAGAAGACACCTCGACCCAGCTCTGTGCCGTGCGTTTGTGTTGATTTCCCAGGATGTAGTGCTCTGGCACTACATCCTGTGCTTTGAGAGTTGGCACAAGCTGTGTCTAAAGGGACATTTTATGTTCTTTGGCCAATGAGATGACAGATGGAGAGAGAGGGGGAGGGAGCAACAGACAGCTGCAGGGACACTGGCTAGCTTGAGATGCTGAGCCTAGGTGGCAGGTGTGTGTGTGTGTGTGTGTGTGTGTGTGTGTGTCTGTGTGTCTGTGTGTCTGTGTCTGTGTGTCTGTGTGCATGTGTGTGTCTATGTCTCTCTGTGTGTGTCTGTGTGTGTGTGTGCGCGTGCGTGTGTGCGTGTGTGTGCATGTGTGTTTTTTTGCGATAGGATGGCCCTCCTGCCGTCCTGATCTCTTCACCATGATTGCAGGTTGGGAAGGGTTACAGAGCTAAAGAAGTTGCCTCAGGCTGTGCAGCAGGAGACAGGGAGTGGGTGAAGGGCCAAGTTTTAAGTCTCCTTTGCCTGGGAGAAATCCTTTTTCTCACACAGGAGCTTCAGGGCTGTTTCTGTGGTTTTTATTTCCTCACTGTGTTTTGGAATGTGAGAAGAACTTGGTTTCTCATATTCCCAGGGACTATGGGTTCCCTTTACTTTATGAAATGTTTGGTCTCGCTCTGGGTTTGAACATTGAAGACTGTGTGGGTTAGTTTTTATTTTAGTACGGGAACTCAGTTTTTGAATAACCAATTCAGTTAAGACACCATTGAAAGTAGAAAGGGTGCTGCTAGATAAACGCAGCCTGCCTCCAGTGGCTCCCCACTATAGTGAGAGCAGACGCTGGCACTGCGGCTGGGGACTGCTGCAGTGCTGCTCACCTGGCCTGTCCCAGTGTGGGACAGTGGAGAGCAAGCCCTCAGTGGTCGCCAGACAGCCGTTCCCCAAAGAGAAGACTTAGGAACCAAGAGAGTTCTGCGTTAGTGGAGGAATCCGAGCCCCATGCCCCCCTTCTAGTTTGACAAGGGAACCCCTGTTTTTCTTACTTTTTCAGACTAGTGTCTCAACTGATGACTGCTTCAGGAGGGCTGGGCTCAGGGGTTGAAGGTTGGGGTGTGTTGATAGTAGGAATTCCTGAGTAAATTCTGAGAGATTACCTAAATGTATTTTTTAATTCCAACTATTTGTAGACATATTCTTATAGCCACTTTAGAATGAAGAGAAACTTCCTTTAATTTCCTAAATTGTCTTGTGAATTTAGTCTTCCCCAATTCTGTCTCTCTGTGCAGTTACTTACCTTATAGGAAATGACTTGAACCCAGATGGGATAATCAATCAATATGGCAGATAAATTTAGCTAATTCAGCATCAAAATCATAGTCTGTCACTAAGAAGTTCTCAGAGCGGGCTCCTACCTGGCAGCTCACCAGTCCTGTAGGTGCTGAAGTCTTGTAGGACCCCAGGCCAGGAATCACAGAGATATCCTCCCTGAGAACAAAGATCCAAGCCTCTGAAGAACCCCAGGGCCATTGTGATGCACCTGACAGTTCAATTAAAGGAGACATGGGGAGAAATGAGGACATTTGGGTCAGCCTGTGATACCAGGAGGTCACCAGTAAAAAGAAAGAGGACTTGCAGTGGGCTAGAGCTGTGATTGGACCCTCAGTGTCTCCCAGAAGTCCATGTGTGAAAAGCTTAGCCCTCAGCCTGTAATTTATTCTCAGAAGGTGGTAGGGACCTTTAAGAGGTGGGAGGCTGGCCCTGGGGGGCTATGCCCTCACCGTGGATCTGAGATGCCCTGGGGTGCGGGGCGTGTCCTCACTGTGGATCTGAGATGCCCTGGGGTGGGGGGCTATGCCTTCACCGTGGATCTGAGGTGCCCTGGGGTGGGGGGCGTGTCCTCACTGTGTATCTGAGATGCCCTGGGGGACTATGTCCTCACTGTGGGTCTGAGATGCCCTGGGGTGGGGGCTATGCCTTCACCGTGGATCTGAGGTGCCCTGGGGTGGGGGGCGTGTCCTCACTGTGTATCTGAGATGCCCTGGGGTGGGGTTGGGGGTGGGGGTGTCCTCACTGTGGGTCTGAGATGCAGTCATGAGATGAACAATTTGCTCTGCCCTGCCCTCCTTGCCTTAATGTGAAACCCTTCCATAGACTCAGGGCCAGTGGGGCCAGTCTTGGACTCAGAGCCTCTGAAAGTGAGTCAAAGTAAACCCTTCGAGGCTAGAGGTTTATCAAAGCTGAGGAACACTGAATGATAAGTAAGAACTGTGTTTCCTAGTTATTTAAATACAATTCTGTTTCCTAGTATGTGAGAAATGGAGGAGTTTAGTGTACAGGCTTCCACATACTAAAAATATGTCTAGTCATTTTTTGTTGACTTGATTTTTTTTTTTTTTTTTTTTTTTTTTTTTTTTTTTGAATCTTTGAGAAGGGCAGTGGCAGTGTCCCGCCACCAGGTAGCTCTGTATGCCCATTATCTTACTCCATTTCCTGCTGTCTGTCCCCAGTGTGTGGAAGACTCTGTGTGGAGTTGATGACATTTATGGCCCGAGGCTGTTTGCTTCTGGTTTTCAGACTCTGCTCTCTCTGTGCTCTGCACCATGGTTGTATACTTAGCATGGCTGCCACTGGTTCTGGAATGGAGAGAGAGGCCTTTCCTTCAGAGTTGGGTTCTCCCAGCCAGTAGATCTGCATGTGGAAGAACTCTGCCATCTAGTGGGCAAGAGAATCAGGCTCTCAAAAACCAAAACAAAAAAACCCAAGTATGTCCACATCATTAGCAAACCCGAGTCTGCTAACTTCATTTGTGATCATGCAAATGAAAACTCAACCTGAAAAATAACATTACCCGCCCACCAAGGCTTAGCGTGTCGGTGCTGGGTATCCAGCAGAGACTCCTGTGTGTTGCTGGCATGGGTTTTAAACACAGAAGGTCTTTTGATATTAAGTACCAAAACTGAGATGTACAGATAGATGCCACGGCTCAGGTCACTCCTCAATTCCTAACCAGTGAGATCGTTTGCTTATGTGTCCCAGGAGATAGGAAAGCGCCCATAGCAGTGCTGTCTGTAAGAAAGAGCTCCAGAGTAGGAGCAGCCCAGCACTCGCCAGCCTCGGAATGGCCATCAGGCATGTGACTGCAGTAGCGCATTCTTCTTGTTCAGTCCTGTGCCAGGAACAGGTGGCTTCCCATACAGAAGGATCTCGTCACAAAAAAACAGCATAGGACGGAATCCCTAGTGAGTGATTCCATTTTGTAAAGTGGCTTCCATGAAGCAAGCCAGGCTACAGTAAGCATTAGTTGTCCCCACACTTGGCAGTCACTGCTTCTGTGCGGAGAAGCTGTGCGTGTAGACAAGCAGCAGCAGACACCTGCGTGGCAGGACCCTGGGCCAGTCGCTCAGTAACCAGTCACCATAGGCCAAAGAGATGCAGGCAGGAGGTAATAGAACCCGGAAGGAGAGAGCCCTGTGCACAGCTGTGGACTAGGCTGTCTTTCAGGAAGGATCCAAGGGATAAATGAGCCCTCGCCTCAGACAGCTCCTGCCTGCCGCCCTCTGTGCTCCCTTTTCAGGGCTCCTAGCCTTTGATTAGAATCTACCCTTTATCCTCCGGGATGACAAGGTCAAGACGGGGAAGAAGCAGATGGTTTTTGAGGCAGCCCCAGTTGCTGTGGGTGTGGTACATCCCCTATCCTACTTGGAGAGGCCTTTTCAGGAAGGTTGGGTGTCAGAGTTGGCACACTGTGGACGAAGCTGTTCTGGTGACCATGCCTTCCACCACCCAGGGTCTCTACAAACTGTGTACCTGGTAGCTCCTGTCCTGTGTTCTGTAGACACCAAGTGCCAGTTCTCTTTGTCCCTGCCTATCTGGAATGTCCCTGCAGCATATGTAAATTTCCCTGTCCTAGCTTGGGCCCGGGTAGCTGTGTGAGCCTTGCCTGAATCATGGATTATACAAGTTAAGTTAAGGCTAACTTGAGTGTCTTACCTTAGCCTCTCACTGTGCAGTTGGACAGAGCCCTGTTTTCAGGTTGGAGTGAAGTGAGTATTGTACTTTGGCCTCCCAAATCTCATAGGATGAGACCTGGTGTTCTCTGCCCTTAAACCTTGAAGTACCCGGTCCTCATTTAATGAACCCCATCTCCATCATCTCTGGGAATACTGGGCCCATTGGGAAGTCAAGGCACCAGTGTTGTGACGGGGCCCCACTTGTGCTGGGCCCTTGCTGTCTTGTCCTCACTTGTCCTTTGTTGTGGTCTTTTGTGTGTGTTTTTACCTTGTTTTAGGTTTATTTCGGAGTTCCTGAAGACATGCCCAGCCTGCTGAGGCAGACAGGTGTACGTGTTTTGTCTGTTTTCCCCTTGATAACAAACTGCATTGGTTCTGTTAAGGAGAAGAACTGCCCACGGGTCATCCTCTCATGATGATGAAGTAAGTTGGACACTAGTGACAATTCAGGAGGCTGCTGCAGTAGTGTCACCTTCCTACTGCCAGCTCTTTCCATACGGACAGTCTCTTGTTTCCCCCAAGCATGCAGTCCCTGAAGAATCCCAGCAAAGACAGCACAGTGACAATGTGCTTAAACACGGGAGGAAGCTCAGTGAGGGGCTTAGACGTGAAGGCCTGAGTTTGCTCCCCAAAACACTCATTCATTCACCCACCCACCCGCTCACTCCTCACTCACCCTTTGTTGGTTTTTTGTTTTTTGAGACAGGGTTTTTCTATTGTTTCGGAGGCTGTCCTGGAACTCACTCTATAGACCAGGCTGGCCTCAAACTCACAGAGATCGGCCTGCCTCTGCCTCCCGAATGCTGTGACTAAAGGTGTGCGCCACCAACGCCCCCCAGCCTTACTCACTCACTCTTATTATCCAAGCTTGATGACTTTTAATCCCAATACTGGGGAAGTGGTAACAGATAGGTCCCTAGGGCTCTCTAGCCAGTCATCGTAGTCTGCTTGGCAAATTCCAGGCCAGTAAAATACCCTCCAACCCCCCAAAAGTGAACAGTACCTGAGAAATGACTCCCCTGATTGTCCTTTGACCCCCCCCCCCCACACATGTGCATTGTACAGACACAGACACACACACACACAGACACACACACACACACACAGACACACAGTCAAGTGCCTGGGGAGACTACCCTGGGGACACACAGGGCAGATAGATTGCTGTGGTATTTCTTGTATAGTGAGGCATTCCCTGGCCTGTGCTTTTCTTTCTGTCACACTTCATTGGATCAGTAATTACAGTTTTAGAGTCAGTTGCACGAGGTGTCTCTGGCATCTCTCTTTTGCAGTTAAGTACTCACTGATCTTGGCTGTTTTTCTGCTCTCTCCTTTCTTCTCGTTTTATGTGTTTTGTTAAGGAAGAGCTGGTACATCTCAGATGCTTCAGTGGCCAGTACAGTCCTTCTCCCAGGAGGCCCTTGATAAGTAGACTTAGTGATCCAACCAGGGGAGATGTTTTCCCCAAGTTATGCTGTGGCTCAAAAATGGGTGTCTAGGAGTCACTGCCTATCCCTGCTGGCATCTGGAGTCCTGTTGCTAGAGCTCACATCAGCTTCCTCAGGATCATTATTCCTGAAAACCTGTCAGAATGGGATCCCGGGCACCACCAACACTCTTGCAACTGGCACTAGAGAGGCTGCTGAGGGAGGAGGCCTTGGTCATCTCTGCTCTGGAGGACCTGCCCGTGGGGATGTTCCCGGAGATGTTTAAGAAAGCCTTCAATGACAGACTTTCAAACATCCTGAGGGCCATGGTGCCTGCCTGGCCTTTCCCATGCCTTCCTGCAGGAGGCCTGATTTACAACCCCCACCTGGAGACTCTGAAAGGACTGCTTGATGGACTAGATGTGCTGATTACAGAGAAGGTTCATCCCAGGTCAAAACTCAGAGTGCTTGATTTGATAAACGTGAACCTAGACTTCTGGAGCCTTAATGCTGGAAGCCATAAAAGTGGCTGCTCCCCACAATCCATGAGGCAGCCGCAGTCAGTGGAGATGTGTCCTAATTCTGTGCAGAAGAAGCCTTTCACAGTAGTAACTGAACTTGAAATCACGAAAGCCAGTTTCACTGAATGTGACATATACTTGTTGCAGTGGGCCAAGCGGCAAAAAGCTTCTGTTCATCTGTGCTGTAGAAAGCTGCATATTTGGGATGCACCTGTCTTCACTGCCACACAGCTCTTCAACATGGTGGATGTAGGCTGTATCCAGGAGCTGCGGTTGAGTCAGTGGTGTCTTCAGTACATGGCACACATTTTTCCTTACCTGGGGCAGATGAGACATCTCCGCACTCTCATCCTAGAAATAATCCGGCAGCTTTTCACGTCTGACGCTGCTGCAGAGCCGGAATGGATAAGCCTGTTGCTTTCTCAGTTCTCCAAACTCCCCTGCCTGCAGAATCTCTGTGTAAATGACGTCTACTTTTTAACAGGCTGCCTTGAAGAGTGGCTCAGGTGCCTGAACAACCCCTTGGTGACCCTGTCAATCACTTACTGCCGTCTCTCACAGTCAGACCTGCGTTACCTGAGCCAGTGCCTGGTCATCTGTGAGCTCAAACATCTGAACCTGAGTGGTGTAGAGCTATCAAATTCATGCCCTAAGCTTCTTGGGGTTCTGCTTGAGAGACTCAAAAGTACCCTTCAAACCCTGGAATTGGAGCAGTGCAACTTGAAGGACCCTCATTTCAATGCCATCTTGCCTGCTCTGACCCAATGCTCCCAGCTTACCAAGATCAATTTCTATCGTAATGATATCTCTCTGCTTGTCCTGAAGAACCTTCTACATCACACAGCCAAGATGAGAAGGCTGACCCAGGAGCTGTATCCCGCCCCTCTGGAATGCTATGACTACTTTACAATACTTAGAGACAAATTTATACAACTATGTCCTGAACTGCTGGATATACTCAGGGTAGAAAGGCAGCCCAGGAAAGTCTCCTTTGCTACAAGAGCATGTTTTGTCTGTTTTAAGTCCTGTTTCTACGACCATAAGGCCAGACTTTGCCTTTGTTCATATGCAGGATAAGGTTGCTTCTGAGAATGCAAGCCTAGTGTGGGGAGTGTATATACACTGTGTACATCTTGGATTGCATATAATAAATGTGTTGAGTTTGGAAAAAAAAAAGGGTGTCTAATGCTTTTAGACAGATGTCATGGTAAAGACATCAAATGAGAGCAGTCGACAGAAAGAGATTGGTCATCAGGCTCACCTCAAGGGGGCGACGGTGTTCACCAGGCTCACCTCAAGGGGGCAACGGTGTTCATCAGGCTCACCACAAGGGGGCAACGGTGTTCACCAGGTTCACCTCAAGGGGGCGACGGTGTTCACCAGGCTCACCTCCAAGGGGGTGACAGTGTTGGGGGATGGTTAGATGGTCATTATGCTTTCCTCAAAGGGTGACAGTGTTTATCAGGTTTTCTTAAAGGGGTGTTAGTGTTGGTTGTTTCCAGAGAAGTTGTTTGTAACTCATTTCATGTAAGAGTCGTCAGGCAGTTAGCTAGATGTGGAACAGTTTCCAAGTCCTCATTTTCATGTTCGTCTCCTTTTTGGTGATGGATGCTGTCACAGCTATCTGATAGGACACTATGCTTTTACAGATGATTGGTGACACTTGAACTTTTGACCTTTAACCTGATTGGAAATATTGTTAAAATTGAAATTTTTTTGAATAAATGAAGAAATAAAATAGTAAAGAATATTGAGTTATACAGATGTTTTAGCATTCACTTAGGATTGTTTCTATATTACGTAGCAACCTGTAACTACATGCACTTTAGTCTTCTAAGACATCTTGGCTTATAGACTATTTCTGTGCTCATTAGAAGCCTCCTGTTTACTTTAGGAAACAGTTTTTCTCTGTAGGATTCCACTTTTAATATCGTGTACCTGACACTTGATTAATAGTTATTAAATGTGACCATTAAATGTAGCATTGGAACTAATTGTCATGTTTTCAAAACATATGTGCATATAAACATAAAATTCACCGTCTGAATTTTAAAGATACCTTTCTATTTATTCTTTGACAATTTTACACATGTATCCAGTGTGTCTTGATTCTGTCCCAGTGGAGTCCAAGTTCTGCCTCTCCTTCCTCCCGCAAACTCAGTCTGGTTAGTGCTACCCCCTAGAATGCTGACGATCCTGTCGGCTCAGTTCTGTGCACAGGTTACCATAGCTGTGTTGAGTTCATGAGCTGAGTCACGTCTAGAAGACAATTCCCGAGCACTCTCTCCATCCCCTGTCTTTTACATTCTTTTACTTCTGCCACATTCCCCAGGCAGGGACTTGTTATGGATGTCTCCTCCTCTCCCTCAGCAGGGCGCCCAGCAGTGGCTTACCCCCAGCACTCTGACTAGTTTTGAGGCTGCATTCCTTGCAGCCACTGAAGACAGAGCTTGCCTGGCCAAGGCTGACTAGCAGACCTGATCTTTTGGTACACACATAAATATTTAGAGGCAGTTTGACAACATGCTCACTTAGTAGAACAACAGTAATGGGCTTTTCTGTAGGGCCTGCCTTAGCTTCTTTTCTATTGCTGTAATAAAACACCATGACCAAGGCAACTCATAGAAGAGGAAGACATTTATTTGGGGCATATAGCTTCAGAGGGTTAGAGTCCATGGTAGGGAGCATGGCAGCAGACACTGTGCTGAGGCAGAGGCTGTAGCTCACATCTTGAGATGCAGCCACAAGCAGACAGGCACTGAGAGTGGTGCTAGTTTTTTGAAACCTTAAAGCCTGCTCCAACAAGGCCACACCTAATCCTTTCCAAACAGTTTCGCTAACTGGGGACCAAGCACTCAACTATATGAGGCTATGGGGGCCATTATCATTAAAACTACCACAGGGCCTATGTCATCCTGACCTTTTGACCATGTCCACAGTACCAGGCAGGTCTCAAATCCAATCATAAAGCTGTTGTTTACACTGTAACCCTCATCCCGTGGTTGCACCAGTGGCACATTCTGCCTGCCAGTTAGTATTGTAGCACTGAGGGGTGCCTTCTGGGTAATGTCCATTGATGACTTTCTCCCTTCAGTGGCATGCCTAGTGCCTTCTGGAGCTACGAGAGAAAGCCTTTAGGGAGCAAATATTCAGGTCAGTTTCAGCTGGATGTCTGTGTCCTTCACCAGAGTGTGCTGTGTCTTGAGCAATAGGTTCTCATTATCTAATACTAGTAGGCAACCAAGAGACGTGACAACAGCCTCTGTTGGAGAGCCTCTGGGACCTCCCAGCTCACGATAGAACCAAGTTATCATATCTTGTAAGGGCAGCATTGCCCACCCATGAAGATTTCCTGTGTTCAAACTCATCTCTAAAATTATGTTTTTAAATTAAGTTAGAACAAAGTGTTAGGTGTTCCCGCATCCTTAGTTCTGGTTAGCTCGTCTCCAGCCTTCTCATCTCTCCTGTCTGACCTTTCTTTCCTACCCCAAATCTTTTTTTTAAAGATTTATTGATTTATTATGTCTGCAGTGTTCTGATTGCATGTCTGCCTACAGGCCAGAAGAGGGCTCCAGATCTCATCACAGATGGTCGTGAGATGGTTGCTGGGAATTGACCTCAGGGCCTTTGGAAGAGCAGGCAGTGCTCTTAACCACTGAGCCATCTCTCCAGCCCCCTACCCCAGATCTTAATGCCTGTAAATGAATGGTTCAGCATCGAATTCACTCACATTGTCATGTGTCCAGTCTGCAGATTACTTCCATCTTCCCAAACTGAAGCTTAGCACCGGACGCATGATTTCCCACTCACCCCCAAACCTCTCCAGTCTGCGTCCTGTCTTCCGCAGTCTGACTCCTCTGCCTCAGAAGTAGAATGGTAGAGTATGTATTTGTCTTTTCCTAATCTTCACACTTTCCAGAGGACAACCTCAGCTCTTTTGTTCACTGCCGTGGGTGTCTGGCCAGCTGACCCCTAAGTGTCCGGAGAGTGTACTGTCTCCATCTCCTATCTCACTGTAGGAGTGCTGGGATTACAGAGGAGGGCTGCTGCCTTCCACCTCCTGGGGCCTGAGGAGCTGAACTCCACACCTAAACACTGTACCTGCCTACAACCCTCAACCCTCAGATTTGTCTTTTCTAACTGACTCATTTCACCTGGTGCAAAGTCCTTAGGTTCCATTCATGATGTAACACATCAAAATTTCCTTCCTATATAATTTTTAAGAATATATAATCTGTCATGTTCCTTCAGAGATGCACAGCAGCTTGTGTTTATCCATTTGGTCATCAGATGCCTGGTTGGCTCCACCTTTAGCTGTTTGTGAGTGATTGCCATGAACACAAGAAGTACAGATACCCCTTTGGGATCTGCTTTCAGTTCTTTTTTGGTATAAACTCAGAGGTTAAGGGCAATTCCTTTTTTTAAATTTTTTTTTTTTTAACCTGTGGAATCACTGTTTCCATAGCAGTTGCACTATTTTACATTCCTACAAACAGCAAATGGGGATTCTATTGTCTGGATACTGGCCAGTACTTGTTCTTTTCTGTGTACATAGGTGTTTTGTCCACATGTCTGACTTTGTACCTGGTCCCCATGGAGGTCAGAAGAGGTCATTGGATGCTCTGGAACTAGAGTTATACAAGGTCAATGCTGGGAATTGTGCCTGGGTCCTTTGGGAGAGCAGCCCTAAAACCACAGAGCCATCTGTCCAGCCCTCTTTCTCCTTTGGTAGCAGTCATTCCATGGAAGGTGGCATTTCCTAGTGGTTTTGTTTTTTCTGTCTGTAGTGACCAGTGATGGTCACTACATGCTCATTGGCCACTCATAGATCTTCTGCAGAGCAATGTCTACTAACGCCCTCTGTTGCTCATTTTGTTGTTCTATATATGTTGTTTATACCTTCTGAGACCATCTCCTCCTCAGATGTGTGACCTGTAAGCACTTTCTCTTGCTCCACAGGGTGCTCCTTTACTGTGTCGATTATGTTCTCTGGTGCCGTTCTAGGTCCATGACCAGGGTGGATTTAAAGGCTTCAGTTTGTATGTGAAGGGCAAAGGGGAGAGTCTGGGTCCTCTTCCTGGTAATGTCACCTCAAGCCTGCATTTCCGAAGATGTGAGACCTTTCCTTTCTCCAGAGCCGTGAGATGGGAAGTAGGGAAGCCGGCTTTTCAGAATTAGTTCCCTTTGGACACCCCTCCCTCCAGCGCTGGTGTGTTGTGTAGGCCATAGGCTTTCATTATCTTAGTAAAACAAAATAGAAAAATAAGACTTGTGTCGGTGTGGGTTCACATGGGTTCATGGAAAGAAGACTCAGAGACACTTCTAAGCATGAATTGAGCCCTTTGCGGCTGCGGGGTCCCCAGCCTTGATGGACTGAAGCTCTCTCCTTGTGCCCAGGGCACACTTTTTTCCATATTTACAGTTTAGCCATTTGATTTCCACATGCTTAGAACAACTTGAATGAGGCTTCCAAAGGGACCATGCCAAGCACAAAGTCTCAATAAAGGGAGAACCACGGTTTCTCGGGTTTCCCTCCCAACCACGTTTTGCATAGGGAAGCTCCCAGACAAGGTTCACATGGGGGGGACCAAAGGTATCTGCTCAGCACTGGACGGATTATGGCTAGGAGCTAACTCTCCCGACCGAGGCCAGATATAGTCCATCAGGGATTAGGGCTAGTTGCCAGCACTCTGGCACCAGCCCAGCAGGAGTTCTACCAGGTAAGAACATTTACTTTTTCATGGCATTAGTTTCTGTGTTCTGTTTCTTTTTATCAACGATTAACACAGAGTCGTTGTATATGGAGGCAGAGTTTGACATCAGCTGTCTTCTTCATCCCCCCCCCCCCCCCCCCCCCCAGACAGGGCTTCTCTGTGTAGCTATGGTTGTCCTGGCACTCGCTCTGTAGTCCAGGCTGGTCTGAAACTCAACAGACATCTGCTTGTCTCTGCCTCCCAAGTGCTGGGATTAAAGGCATGCGCCACCACTGCCCAGTACCCCCATTCTTATCTTTTTTTTTATTTTATTTTACATTTTCCCATTGTTTCTATACATCCTCAACAACTTAACTAGACTGGTTGCAAAGTCAGGCCCCAGGAGTCCTCCTGTCTCTGATCAAGTCCTTACCCACTCCAACAAAGCCACACCTCCTAAAAATGCAGAGCAGAATGAGAGAATCCCGACATTAAGAGATGAACTGGGGCTGGGTGGCAGCCTCAAAAAATCTTTAATCCCAGCATTTGGGAGGCAGAAGCAGGAGGCCAGCCTGTTTTACAGAGCTAGTTCCTGGACAGGCAGGATCACAGGGGGGGGGGGGGGGGGAGAATAAGAGAGAGAGAATAAGAGAGAGAATAAGAGAGAGAGAGGGAGAGAGGAGCTGGTAAGGGATGTTTTTGGTCTTTGAAGTACTCGAGATGTCACCAGCACACTGTATTCTCATCCATCGCTAGGTAATCTTTTTTTGTGTTTGTTTGTTTTGTTTGTTTTTTGGTTTTTCGAGACAGGGTTTCTCTGTGTAGCTTTGGAGTCTATCCTGGCACTCGCTCTGGAGACCAGGCTGGCCTCTAACTCACAGAGATCTGCCTGCCTCTGCCTCCCGAGTGCTGGAATTAAAGGTCTGCGCCACCAACACCCGGCTCCATTGCTATGTAATTTTACAGAGGTTTGTAAGTTTGCACATTAGTGACAAACAAGATGCTAACCTTGCCTCCCTAAAATAACAGTTTAATGTGCTCTCCGTGTAGTCACACT